TTCTCTGGTGAATGTAACAATTTCGTGCGCGTTTATATCATTTTTTTTTTACAAGTTTTCACGTAGTTAAATCCCCCTAGAGTGAAATATGTTTGGAAAATGTGAAAGAGTTTAGAATATTTGTCGATGGTAATAGTACAGCGGAAATTCCGTTTTCATTTGCACAACTAAATAAGTTAGAGATATTCTTTATGTGTTTTCAATCGAACTCTGTATTCTTCAATTTTATTGATAAACATCCCACAATACAAGATTTATCGCTCGATGGTAAAAGTTTAAGTGCAATAGAACAGTCGAAATTAGCAAAATCATTACCGTCGTTGGAAAAAATAATTTTCGGAACATCTATTCCGAATGTTGGAATTTTCGGAAAATACAAAATTTCAGCCAATGAAGCGATTCACTTCATGTCCTTGTTCCAAAATCTGGAAGAATTTAGCTTCATTTTAAATGACACCGATGCTTATGATGAATTTCAGGCTCGCTTAAGTAATGAATGGGAAAGTGAACAAATAAATAAGAAAGTTATAACAATCAAAAGAAAGTGTACGCTAGCAAGAAAATGCAAGGTACCCTAAGCAAACCACCTTTGATATTGTAAGCGCATACGTGGATGAAAACAATGTCGATTCGTAAGCTATCCTATTAGGTCAATTTATCAAGAAAAAACTTCACTTTTTTTTCAATTTTTTATCAATCTTACTCTAATTTTACAGTCTTTTGTTTTTGTATCTCTAGCAACCATCACATATGACACATAACACTCTCGTTATCATGTTCATCTATTTAAAATAATTAACAAATATCATTTTATATACTTCTTTTTGATAAAAATGTAAACCGCAAACATTTCTTAAATAAACTCCATTTTTCATGAGGAAAATGTTTTTTTTTTTTTAAATTCCTAACGTTAAAGCTGGTCAAAAATTACCATCAGCAGAGCTATATTTCCTGCTAATAGTAGTTGCTGTATTCCATAGAAAGATTTAACCCGAATCTATTGGTTGTCAAAATGAACAAATACCGACTAATTTCTCTATTTGGGTCGCAGATGTTCATGTAGCTAAGATAAGACACCTTCATATAATACGATCGAACTTTGTTGAATTTTGTCGAGCGAAGAAAATTAGTCATGCGAAGAGTTCACACTCATTGCTCGTTATCAATTCAAAAAGAACGAAGCACTATGCAAATATGTAGAAGAAAAAAATCTAGAGAAGATTCTAAACCCAACGACAATTTATTGCATTCGAAATTTGTCTTGAACTTCATAAGTAGTTTTGAATGAAATGATGCGATGAATGCATTTTTGCCTAAAAAATAGAATTTATCGAAGAATTGTTTGTAACGTAAACCATACGTGATTTACAAAAGCAAAAATGAAATTTTTTTTCATTAGGAACAAGATACACACAAACACGTTTTGCGACACAGTTGTGCATCAAAACAAATTCACGATTGTCGACTTGAGCGTTGATAGAACAAGAAGAAAATTGCCATAATATTCTAACAGTCAGATTGTTTGTATTATATATTTTATTTTCAAGTCATTCAAACGACGATAAATAACACATTTTCCCGAGTCAATAAGTTGACTTGAGCAAAATAGCTCAAAACTTTACCACCTAAAGGTGGTAAATTTAAACTTAGGCATACATTCAGTTCATTTTAAATCGCGATATAACCGCTTTTTACACTTATTTTTCAAACAAAAAAATATCCACCAACTTCTTCAATAAATTTACATTAAAAGTATTCATCATTATGGTTCTTCTTTGTATCAGTTCATCGAACATAGTTTTTTTGTTCCTTCGATTTCAAGATCCTTGGGATTCATTTCATTGAGTTGTTGTATTCCATCCTTTATTTTCGATTGGTACCACGGAATACACTACATCAAATCGTTGAGTTTCCCATGATTCTCTTTGAATATCCCTTTTGATTGATTTGTAGCTCCAAATGGCAACGAAATACAAAATCACACAAAATACTGAAAATATAAGAGAAAGCGGACAGAGATTCATGTTGAATACAACTTCATTCAATTATCTAATTGAACAAAATTTCATTTGACAAAATTTTAAATTCAAATTGAAAAAAAATTGGTTGAAATGATCATAAAGTGTCGATTTAACTTGAAAATTACCTGTCAAGGCGTAAAGATGATTGTCACGATATTCGTATAGTATTTGATCTTTCGACAATCCATCGTAGATAACATAAATTATGATGGCAAACCAAAGACAAAGTGCAAGCGCCCAAAAATTCAATGAAATTAACATCAATCCGGGTTTGTTCTGGAAAAAATAACAGCAAAAATAATTAACGCAAATTCGGTTTTATTTCAAAAATTCAAATTTCACTTGATTAAGAAATGGAACATTCGGTTTTTGGTTTAAATTGTGATAGATTTGAATCGAAACAATTTAATGATTGGCAATGACATTGATAGCTGCAATAGTCGACATTCGGATACCTTAGACAGTTTGTTTTTGAATATTTACTCAAGTTTTCTGGTCGATTAAGATTTTCAAAATCGACTTAAAATGCAAAATCCACTTTTTATCTGATTTTCACAATTTTTCGCCTCAAAACTTCTATGTAAATAGTTCATGCCCAAATTGATACTTTTCAACGGGTCTTCAAATCAACATACTGAACTTATTCTTTTCTTTATTTATGCTTATTTACCTTTCCAATGCCCCAGAGCCATATACCGATTATCGTCAAATTCACAACTGTAAATATTCGAAATGTTGGCATTAGATTTGAACCCGTGAGCATAAAAACAACGTATTGACTCTTCGCCGATGAATACGAAACGCAAAAAAATCGCCGAACAAAGTGAAACACCAATCTGTTATTGGATCAATATGAAGCATGAAATCGTTGGCTACTATTTTATTTACGTTGCGCTTTGTTTCGAAGCGCGGCAAGTGTTTCATTTTGTTCCAGTAACAGAACGTTGTATCACTTTGTTCGGCGACGCGCTCAATGTACTGTTTTG